TCGTCCACACAGACATTATAGGACATCTATATCCACATCATCAGTTGAAACGAACTGGTCATATTTATGAATCAGAGCTCTCATTTTTCGTTATTAGTGCTATACAGGGAGTCAGTAGAAAAAAACCAGAAAGCTTTTATAGACTTCAACTTGTTCTCGAACCGAAGAGTGTGCTCTTCCAAGTAAAACTCTAGAAACATTCCATTTCTGCATAGCACACTGAGTACATCGAACAAAGTGTGACGAGCTAAAAACAAATATTTGAGCACTTATCTGGACCGATTTGAACTGCTTGTTCTTCACATCAAAATACAGCGATTTCTCGGTGTAATTCTCTCTCAACTACTTCACTGTCTGATCTAATTTAGAAGATATTACTAGTGTGGATTTCAATAATTTTTTATCAGTTGACAAACGCATATACTATTGAAGATGCCACAGGTATTTGGAGTATGACAGCACTTTAACCAGTAACACTTTCTTATGTGAATCGTACTCACCAAGCGAAATCAAAAGACAGAAGGGAGGAGGTTCGAAAATATATTTGATAGGCTGTAAATATATCGAAGATCGTCTAATCTGATCTAGTTAGTGATTGAATGGTCACAGGCCCTTCATGATCTACTCAGTGGAGAAGGAACTACTGTGGAGAGCAACTGGAAGGGGATCAAATTCAAACTATCACTTTGACATGCCATGAGGTTCTGGGCCACAAGAAGCATCATCACAAGGAATGGATTACTGTTGATACACTGAAAGAGATTCAAGAAAGGAGGAACAAGAAAGCAGCAATCAATACCAGTTGAACAACGGCAGAAAAAGCCGAGGCACAAACTGAATACACAGAAGTAAACAAACAAGTGATGAGGAGTATCAGAACCGACAAACGTAAATATGTGGAAGATTTAGCAACGACGGCGAAAAAGGCTGCAAGAGAAGGGAACATGATACAACTGTACGACAGGACAAATTAACTCTCTGTAAATCACCGTAAACCAGAGCGAACAGTGATAAGCAAGGAAGGCAACGTGATCACCAACATTGAAGAACAACGGAACAGGTGGATAGAACACTTCAAAGAACTCTTGAATCGATCAGCCCCAATGAACCCACCCAACATCGAAGCAGCACCCACGGACCTCCCAATCGACGTTGGACCACCAAACGTTGAAGAGATAAGCATGACAACCAGGCAAATCAAGAGTGGCAAAGCAGCAGGACCAGACAACATTCCAGCAGAGGCAATAACAGCAGACGTAGCGGCGACTGCAAAGATACTCCACATTCTCTTCAATAAGATTTGAGATGAGGAACAAGTACCAACAGACTGGAAAGAAGGACTTCTGTTCAAAATACCGAAGAAAGGCGATCTCAGCAACTGTGATAACTACAGGGGCATCACTCTTCTCTCAATACCGGGAAAAATCTTCAACAGGGTTTTCTTAAACAAAATGCTCCATTAGGAGTAACAGGCGTAAGTAAGTAAGTATGTACATTATTAAGCTTTTTGAATGGGTGTGAATGATCTTAAATGATCTCATAGTGTTTTCTCCGTAACGTAAAGCTACTCGAGGCATTGAGCTACTACCATGAAATTTAGACCTGCACTATTACATAAGATTTAAGAGCCTTACGGTTTACTGAAAATGCCGATTCCTTGTGGCATTTTTACATCAAGCTGATAGATTGAATCGTAGATGAGGCGGGGTTATTCTGTACACGAAAAGTACCCTAAGCATAAGATTAGCTGAGACAGTAGCACATGTTCCAGGGACATATGAACTGGTACGATGTAAGCTGAAATGTCAAAGGCAAGATATTGAATTAGTTGTGGTATATCGCAGTCCAGAAAGTGTATCAGATGATTTTCTCTTAAGTAAACTTAAGTCCTGGTGTAGCAAGGGTAAAAGCCTTGTAGTAGGCGACTTTAATGCATCATATGTAAACTGGGTTAACTTAGAAGTAGGGTCATCGATAACATCATTCGATTTCAAATTGTTAGACACCTCGACTGGATTAGCTTTATTCCAACACATTAGAGATCCCACAAGATACGACTTGAGAAACTTTTCTCTTTTAGATTTAGTCTTCACACACGGTGATAACGTTGGTCGAATGACTTCCCTCCCACCCCTAGGGAGAAGTGACCTTGCAGTCATCTTATTTAAATTCATGGCCGAGATTGCCTGTCAAACAGTTGCACCGGCCTGACCTAACATATGGAAGGTAGATATGGAGGCAATCAACTCCGCAGCATCGGCTGAAAACTGGGAAATTAACTCAAAGGCATCAGTACAAGAGGCATGGATTCTTTTCAGGTAGTTATACAATTGGGTAAATCAACCATAAATACCCTGGACAGTCTCAAAGAAGAAGAAGCACGGCCATCCCTGGGTAGGCCGGGATATTCGACGTTTACCGAGACAAAAGAAGAAATGCTGGGATGTTGCCAGCCACCTTGGCACAGCAGGTACAGTGGAACGCTACAGATCGATAAGAAACGAGTGCATAAAAAAATTAGGGCAGCTCAAAGAAAATATGAAATGCAGCTGGCACAATCTGCACTCAAGCAGCCTAAGAGAATATTCTCGTACATAAACTACAGAACAAGGATTCCCAACCTAACTAAAGAAGGTAGTGAAACTGAAATTATAGAGGAAGACCAGGAAAAAGCAGAGGCTATGGCAGACTATTTTGGGGCAGTTTTCACTCAGGAACCAGATCGAAATAAACGGTCAACAAACCACCTGCTCACTGTGGACTTCGATCAAGATGATGTTTTTAAGGCTCTTAGCACCCTAAACATGGAGAAGTCAACAGGACCAGATGAACTACACCCCACAATATTGAGACATATTGCACAATATATCGCGGCCCCACTGACTGTGACATTCAATATGTTACTTGACCAAGGTGTGTTACCTATGGAATGGAAGGACATAGTCGTCAATCTGATACAAAAAACAGGTCCACGACAAGTTCCATCAAATTACAGACCTGTAAGCCTCACTAGTGTTGTAGTTAAAATATTGGAAAGAATAATCAAAGGGACTATAATGGCATTTATGGAAACCAATAATTTGCTAAACATGGAACAACATGGTTTTAGGAAGGGTCTATCTTGTACGACGAACCTCCTTATAGTTCTGGATAAATGCTCTAGACAATGGAAACTCAGTGGATGTTGTCTACATAGATTTCAGTAAGGCTTTTGACAAGGTGCCAACTAATAGACTGCTATTGAGGTTGGAAAACCTAGATATTTCCGGACCTCTTTTAAAATGGATTAAGGATTTCCTACTAGGTCGTAGGCAGAAAGTAAGACTAAATTCCAAGTGCTCCATCTGGAGACCAGTACCTAGGGGGGTACATCAAGGTTCCGTCCTAGGTCCGTTACTTTTTATAATGTATGTTAATGATCTTCCAAGTATAGTACAGTCTCCAAGGTTATTGTACGCTGACGATGTAAAGGTCTGGCGAGTAATAATTGGAGACACAGACGCATGTGCTCATCAGGCAGACTTAAATAATATGATAAACTGGTCTAAAGAGTGGCTGATGCCTATCAACGCAGCAAAGTGTGTCTTCACGCACTTTGGGGATTCAAAGGTTAAAACGTACAACATAGGGGAAGTGCCATTACCCGTGGTCCGATCTCATGAGGATCTAGGGGTGACAGTGAGTCATGATCTTAAGACGAGGGCCCATTGCCGAGAGGTCGTAGCTAAGGGTTTTTGAACCTTCTGGGCTTTAAAACGGACATTCACTAAGTTAGATACTACCATGTTCACCAATGCATATACATCCTTAGTGAGAACTACGCTTGAGAACTGCGTTCAGGCTGCAAGCCCCTGTTTAAAAGGTGACTCGGGTATCCTAGAAAAGTACAGAGAGCAGCTACCCGTGCAATTCCAGAACTCAGGGGTTTACCATACAAACAGCGGCTTGAAAAGCCAGACCTCTTTGCTCTGTCTTATCGCAGACTAAGTGGATATCTAATTTTGATGTACCGAATGCTGAGAAATGATTTTGGACCTCACTTGTTCTCTCTTTTCCCTCGCACTAGATCAGGACATCTCAGAGGACATAGCAGACGAGTAGAAAAGCCAAGAACGAACAAAATACTCGTGGCATACAGGTTTTCACACCGAGTCATCAATATTTGAAACCTGCTACCAGAAGCGGTGGTGTCCACACCTTCAATTGACACTTTCAAGAGAAGACTGGACACTCACAGAAGCAAACTAGAAAAGGAATAACATAGGCCGTAGGCCTTCTGTACTTACTACACAAATCTGAAATCTGAACATATAGACGGCAAGTGGGGTTTTTCTTAATTTGTACATGAAAGAAGGGAGCAAATCCTGCCCAAATTTATTATAATTATACTCTTGTAACGAATTAACGGATTTGTAAGGCACTTTCGTACATCCTATACCGAGAACTTCTGAGATAGGATTGTCTGTAGAAAAGTATCCGTTAGGTCGGTCGAAATCCCCTCAGAAGTACTTAACACAGTACTACTATTGAATAAATGGAGATAAGATTGGGGTGGTCACAAAAAAATGAAATATACATGCTCACCTCTTGCTTGCCATCGGTCGATAATAAAAAGAGCTGAAAGATAGACAAAAGCAATATGATACACATGACTGCATGTCATTCTGAATTTTTTGAAATACATAGATCTTTTGAAGACACACATATTATCAAGTTAAGCCAGTGTAAACAAACCTCACTGATCTGAGGCACTTCAAATATAAAATGACCGCCTTGAGGCGAACTCATTAGGGTCGCTGAAACGAAAGAGGGGCAATTTCAATTGCAAGCTAGCTAATGCTCTTGAGAAGAGCTAGTTCTGGTTCTCCTCTGTTTCCATCGTGCGAATCGCGCACCTTTATTCAAAATATTGGTATGCAAACGTAGTTACGGCCTGTTCACAGGTCTCTTGGTGACAGAAGACCCGAAAACGCCCTCCAAGGAGGATTTAATTAATCAAGATGGGCATCAAGAACATTTGTAAATTAGCTGGAAAGTCGGGAAAAATGATCGAGCATTATAGTAAATTTACTCCGGTTTCTTTGAGTTTGAAAAACCTTTTATCATTTGGTAATTTGAAGTAGACTTATCTTACACTGCGATTTCTTATCAGGTGAGACTGCGCCAGCCTCTAAGTCCTTCGATTTTCTGAAATATGAACTCCCAGTCCGACTAGGGAACATTATGCAGGAGATCCATCTCCTGCCCGATATCCTAAAAAAGTCAAGATCTGTTCAACAGATATGTTTATTGTAAGGTCGGCTCTTCTGCTTGTCATTTAAACAGGTATGAGGAGACATTCAATAGCCTTATCAAGTATGAAGAATGCTCGACAAAATCGCCTTCTACTTTATCCAGATTTACAGATGATATTGACCTTATCTTACAGAAGCATTCAGGCGTAGTTGAAATAATGGCATTGGTAAGCCCATTACATTTGATCTTATGGTACAGGGTATCAAAGAAATCCAAAGTAATGAATCGTGGTCTGAGTCACAAGAGTTGCAGCTACAGTATTTTCTGGATCGGTTTTACGTGAGTAGAATCGGTATCCGAACTTTACTTAATCAGCATTGTAAGTTTATATTATTCACGTGGTAGATAACTTGCAAGTGTGTTTCTGTCACCTATCATTTTGAAGTATTTGGTTTTATGCCTGGAGATGAGTATTGTTTGGTGGGTTTCGCCTACTTACGTCAATTATAGCGTAGGCGAGATATTCGTTTGCTAACTGAAAGATGAGCTTACTGCTCATCAGTCCCCCTCCCGTCTGTGGTTATAAAAAAATGCCCCATTAAAATATTAGTATATTTTTAGGTTATTAGTGTCCGATTATAGGTGCCCTTGAAGTATTGCTCGTGCATTTTGGGGTCATTGATCTAGCGATTCTGGGGCTAGGCATGGCAAGTTATTTGACGACGTAGTGAATCTTTATCAAGATGGTCGGGATATGTATTACACATACCCATCCACTGACTGCTTGGAAGCGCTATGATGGCTGATATTGAAGTAGCTTCTAAGAAAGCTGGTGATGGCTAAACCAAACTGTAGCATCAGTCTCTGAGGACACTGACTGTTGGACTGAGTCATGTAGGTCCAGACTACCTGGTTCAGGTCAGCGTGATTATCGTAACTGATGGTTAGAGACTGAATAACATGACTAGAAATGTCTCTCAATGGCGCAAATACATTCACTCTTTTTCTTCCCTCATACCCTAAGTTTATAAACAAGCGCTTACTCTTTACTTCATTAATTTACATTTTTTTTCGAGTTGTATTTTGGATGCATTATTTTTTCCATTACCATTGTTACTGTTACTGCATCTACTACTCTGGGATTTGTTCTAACAATCTTATCTCGCTGTGCTAATGATGTGTGACGACTAACCAGTATACTAATTTGTCAGTTCCTACCTTGTGTTTGACTGATTGATGGTTTGTTTACATCCTGGAAAACTAGTCAGCACAACAAATCCTGGTATATAAAGTTTTAACCGAGAATTTTACACATGAATATGTACTCTGAAGTTGACAGCTACACGTATCTTTTCTCGTTTTTGAAATCCGTATTTCTTGTCATAACCGTTTCTGAAGTACTTTGCTTAAAAATGCACTCCAAAATTATAGATGTATTTATACTTATATGATCAATTCTAGATTGCCAAAATGTTTATGGTTAGGGGGACTATTTATGGGCCAAGTTGGTCATCGTGCTGACTTGATAATCCTACATGGAAATCACAGTCGATAATCTTTTGCTTGTACTATTGGTTCTCCTCTCCTATATATATATATAGTCCACTGTAAGGATGATCTCAGTTTCCTCACCAATCCGACAAGTGTGTTACCTGTGAATCTGGAGTTCTTATATGATACTCTATAGTGTTCTGATATAATTAGATTTCTGCACTGAATTTCAGGACAAGAGTTTGCTATCGTTTTAAAACTTACTAAATGAAAATCTAAATGTGAGAAATGGTTCAAAAAAGCAGTTTTTTACTAGCAAACATTCGTGAATTTTTGTTCATATAGAGTTACAACTGGACGTTTAAGCTTGGATTATTCTATACTAATGTAGCCTGAAATACAAACTTGTTGTATGTCAGTGATTTAACATTAGCTTTTAGTGATCCCAACTCAGTAAAATTTTATTGGCTCTAAGATTTGTGAACTAAAACTTCAATGCTTTCTCGTAGAATAGTTGAGTGAAGCATATTATTTTGTATTAAGTCTTACCTAACTGGTATGTTGAATGTAATGTTTCCAGCGTATATACTGATGAAGATCATTTCGAGATATTTATTAGTATCATTATTATAAGGATGTTCCTATGGTCTTGTTTTGCACATGTATGTTTTACGTACCGAACTCTGACCATTACAGTCAAGCTATATGGACCCACATTCTGCAACGTACAATCTCACGTTGGGGGTATCGATCCAGATTGTAGCCCAGTTCAAATCGCAGTAAATGCATACAATTATTCCAGACCACTGTGTATTCAGGCGTATGGTCGTGCTCCGGGGTGTGACATTGAAATCCACGATTGTGTAAATAAAGAGCGTGCATCTGGTAGTTTCAACAAAATTGATTTGTGTGTGGATGCAGCTGGTCATGCGTCGACCAAATCTTATCTTTTGGACAACCAAAGGAACTGTGCAGATTTGTCTGTGAAGGGGAAAGACATAACATTTTGTTATATACCTGGTCATTTGTTTTATATATTGTATGAATTGTTGAAAAATTCAATGAGAGCTGTTACTGAGAATCATAATAATGATGCTCACTTGCCAAGAATACACATTCTTATATGCAACGGACCTGAAGATATCGTTATTAAGGTGAGAAGTTCAGCTTAATTTTAGTGTAATATTTTAGTGTACTATTTTTAACTCATAGTGCCAACACGTCATAGCGTCCTTGTGGTTATTTCTAATTAGATTTATTTAATAAAGTATATTCGGAAATTCCAGTCTAGCAGTCTTCAATTTTAAATCACTTCTAATCACTGAACTTGATAAAAACAATTTTCTAAGGTTTTGGCTGATTTACGATGTTATTCCTAACCATTTAAGTAAGAGTCGCGGGAGAATGTTTATAAAACCAGTCTTACATGTCAACCACAGGCATAAATTTACATCGGCACCAGTTTCCACGACACAACTCAGCATAATGAGAGGAAATTAACACGTTAAGTAGCAGAGATGTTCAAGGGACAGTAATACAAACCTTAATAAAATGACTAAATAGATAAATTTATTCTAGAAAGGGAAGTAAAATTAATAAACAAAATGTATAAAAGAGTATTGAGAAAATCTAAATGTAGGGGAAGTGAGCATATTTTCGTCACTGCTAATGATTTCGATTTGTCATCTGTTTTTAACCGATATACTTTGTCTCACGGGCTCCAATCAGGTAGTCAACACCCCCACACACTGCTCGAATCAAGAGTTCATAACTGTATGGACTGATACTACATCTTGGTCTGACCTCTCCTAGTTTTCTTTTAACTTGCCCCTATGTCAGCGATGATTGCGCATTGAGTTAGTTTGTAAGACTCAAATATCGCTATTGCTTGTGAGTAACTAAAAAACAATCAACTGAGTTGCTTGGAAAGTAAACTGGGAAATGTCATATATAGAATGTTTGAACTGTTTAAGAAAATTAAACATTTTTTGGATATATTGCGAATAGGACAATCGTGTTCTGTGTACTCATTTCTATCATCCCTACTCTTTTTCAGCCTGTTTTTTTATCGCTTTTCATCTACTGTTAGAATTCATTCTCATTATTCCTAAACCGTTAATGTTATATTTCTAGTATATCGAATGTAATTAGTTTACCAGTGTTATAGTTTCTCTCATTACGGCCCAGCAACTATTGCTTAGTATTTTTGGACACTGTTTCACTCGACAAGTCCCCAAATCAGAACACGGTTGAACAGGAACGTAATTATATTCAAAATAAAAAGGTTGGATGGAATCAGGTGTCACAATAACAGAAACGTTAGTATATTTATAGTTTTTACATGAAAGTATCCATTAGCGCTGATCGTATAAGAAATAGTCAATCTGTGTGCCCCAACATAATCCCGTACGGAATGTGCTTTAATCCAATCTATATTCTGCTAACAATCAGTCACAGATGATCTTGATGACAAGTTGTTGTATGCACGTCTCATACGAACGAAACCCTTGTTTAATAATGTTATGATTGTCTTTTAGCAAGAAAAATTTTCAATTCGTTTCTGCATATACAAGGTTCACCACATCTCAGTAACTATATGTCATACCTTGTGGCCTATGCGCCCTGCTAATGTATAACGTAACGATACCGCCAATTATAGTTATGATTTACCGATCGAACCAGTGACGCATAAACCCGTACGAGCAGTCTAGAGTCCTTATTGGTCCTATTTCCTTCCTAGCCCAGCCAGTTAAGTCCAAAAGACCAATCTCAGCCTTTGCAATATGAATCATTTATTTCAAGCATACTGGGTTTATATACCAACCAGACCATACCGTGCCATGAAATAGGAAACAACATTTGTACAAAATTTAGCCAAATGTGGCTGTGAATGTGGTAGGTAGTAATTAATAGACAGGGCATAATTCAAGAATGGTAAATCGTAGAATAATAGTTCATAGATCAAAGTAAGGCTCATAATAAGAGGGACATGAATATGAACAGTTTATCTATTTAACAATTATACGGTAAAAATATACGCATAGTATTGGTCCATAAATGGATCCCAAAGTTACCATTGATTATGCTTATCGGGGCATAACACTTTAGTCCCTTATGATATTGTCAACTTGGTACCCCATTTTTCTGTTTTATTTTTGTTACACGTTTCTGGTTTATCTAATTTGTACACCAATTATATAGTTGTATTAGTTATTATATCTTCTTATACTTACCTAAGCCAGTATTATTTATTTATTTATTTGAACACATAAATATTGGTACAAGAGAGCGCCAATATATATGCGCCACACAAAACAATGAAAATTCGAAGAGAGATAGAAAAAAACAACTAAGGACCACAAAAGGTAGTGTGGTCGTAACGATGGAACAGAAAGGTACAATCAGAAGAAATCTTTCAAGTAAGGGAGACACAACCACTTTTTATGAAGAAAGTAAAAGAAGGTTACAGCAGGATCGCCACTGGCTTCTATTCTGAGCCATATCTGATAACGTCTCTAGCCACTGTGTAGCACCATCTCTCAGACCCCAACCAGGGAGTCGTGAAGGACCGACAGAAGCCAGTCCTTTGCAGCTTTCTTTCATACCACGACACCATGTCATGCACTGACCACCTCTCCGCTTTTTCCAACCAGTCCCAGAGTCGGCAAATAATGCACGACGTGGAATTCTCTGGGACGACATTCGTAGAACATGTCCAAGCCACCGAAGTCGGTGTTTCAAGATGGTGACACCAATTGAATTATCATCTCTGTGCCCAAACACACGATGCCGAACCTCTGCATTACTGACATGGTGTTGCCACTGAATGTCAGCAATCCTTCGGAGACAGCGATGATCGAACACAGAGAGTCGTCTAACGTCCTCAACTCGGAGAGGCCAGGTTTCACAAGCATAGAGCAAAACTGCTCTCACCGACGCGTTGTAGATCCGGCCTTTTACAGCCAGACTAACATCACGAAGGCGCCAAAGGTGGCCCAGATTGGCATAAGCCGCTCTGGCTTTCACTATTCGTGCATTGATCTCATCACTCACACCCCCACCAGCACTTATGCAGCTACCCAGATACACGAACTTCTCGACTACGTCTATCTGCTCACCATCCAGGGTGAGTACAGGATTGGAATCCTGCCAGTCTTGTAGAAGTACTTTGCACTTCGAAGGTGCAAAGCACATACCATACCTACGGACACTGATTGCCAACTGATTAAGTGCGGATTGCATGCCTTGGGCATTATCGCACAGTAAGACAATATCGTCCGCATACTCAAGGTCGAGAAGTCTTTCTCCAGGCAACAGATCCACACCACCATTACTTACATCCATCAGAGCTGTTTCCAGAATGTCATCGATGGCAAAGTTGAAGAGGAATGGTGAGATTGGGCAACCCTGCCTAACCCCACTACTCGAATGGAACAATGGAGAGAGGTGGTTGTATGCCCTCACTCTGCCTGAGGTGTTTTTATATAGGGCTTTTAGGATGTTAATAAACTTCTCAGGCACACCCTTCTTCAATAGACAATCCCAGAGAACAGTCCTGTCCAACGAATCGAAGGCAGCCCTGATGTCAAGAAACACTACGATTGTTGGCCTTTGATAAGTATGGCGATGTTCTAACATTTGGCGGAGGGTGAAGATATGATCAATACAACCTCGACCAGAACGAAACCCAGCCTGCTCCTCGCGAGTCAATCTTTCTCGGGTTTTGAACAACCTACGAACTATGACGGAAGCCAATAGCTTGGACGCAATCGGAAGTAGACTTATCCCCCGATAGTTGTTGCAGGAACGACGTGAACCCTTTTTAAAGATAGGGACAACTATCGACTCATTCCATGACGTTGGTACACTCTCTAATTCCCAAACCTTTGTAAACAACGTCGTCAATTCCTTAGTCAAAAAGTCACCACCATCTTTAAAAAGAGCCGGAGGTAAGTCATCTGGGCCAGGTGATTTGTAACGCTTCAAGAGTTGGAGTTCCTTGCGGACTTCCTCCTCGTTTGGTGGATCAGTCGTCACCGGCCATGGAGGGCAGGACAGTCTGACCGATGTTGCCGGAGCAGCAGGCCAGTTGAACTGCCCTTCGAAAAATTCTGCCCATCGTCCAAGACGTCGAAGGATGTTAGTGATTGGCATCCCATCATCCTCGCAGATTGTTTCACTCACACCAGACTTCTTGCTGCCAGTGGCTCGGATGAGCTGGAAGAGCTTCCGGTAGTTACCAGATGCAGCTGCTGCTTCCAGCTCATTAGCACGCTCCGACCACCAGGCTTCTCGGTCCTTACGCAAGCTTTGCCCAATTTCCCTACGTAACATCCTTCGTTTATGGTCAAACTCACGGTCACCCGGAGTAGACCGACGGGCTTCAATGAGTTGTAAGGAACCAGAAGAAACCCAGTGCTTAAAAGCGGGACGTTTCGCAAACCCACAACTGACTGTTCCCGCCATTTTCATGGCGTCAAGCAATTGCAACCAATGCTCATCTATACTTTTCGGTGGAGTGGTAGCTAGCCTAGAGGCTAGCTCGGTTCGATACTTACTTGCAACAGAAGTTGCAACCAGCTTGCTAACATCAATCCGTTGATGGCGGTCACTTCGTTGTCCACTGAAAAGTAAGGCAAGATTGGCGCAGACCAAGGCATGGTCAGAGTCCAGATAGGTACTCCAAAAGAAGCGGCAGTCTTTTACACAACCACGCCAGCGGAAGCTGATCGCGATGTGATCAATCTGAGTCCAGGCTTGGGATGCAGAGGGAGGACGCCAGGTGGCACATCGGCGATGACTGTGCCGAAAGTTAGTGCTAGCCAGAAACAGGTTGTGGTCTGTGCAAAGTTGCAGTAGACGGTCCCCGTTATCTGACCTGCGACCAACGAGTCCCCATCGGCCACCTAAACGACTCTCTTCTGTGCCTAGACGCCCGACCTGAGCATTCAAGTCTCCGGCTAGTACTACAATATCTGTCGAGCGCACTTTCTGGAGAAGAACAGATAACTGGTGGTAAAACTCATCCTTGATTGCATCCGGGCTGCAATCTGTCGGGGCATAGGCGGAGATGACGAAAAGACATCGTTTCTCACGCCGATTTCTTCTCACTTTGATGGAACTTTCTAATCTAACAGCACATAGCCGACTGTTA